TTTTTTAAATGCATATTTTGTTTAAAGTTAGCTGCTCATTGGTTAAATATACCCCATCCAAATCAAGTAACCGATGTTCAACGTCAACAAGCAAAACAGTTATGCTATGCTATTCTATATGGAATGGGTTTTCAAACATTGGCTAGTCAATTGAATATATCTCAGCAAAATGCCCAAAAGTTAATTGATAGCTTTTTAAACACTTATCCAGGTAAATGACTCAGTTGATTCATCAAAATAATACATACGGTTAATCTTTGTGGTATTTAGAAAAAATTACCCTTCAATTAATTCATTTGTTTATATTATACGGGAATTCGTGAAGATTGCTGAATGTAGTAATTTACATGACAAAATGCTCGTAGTTGAATAATCATTGAAAGTCAAGAAATACTGAACATCTATTTCTTCCTTACTCGTGACCATTCAACACTGAACATGTATGATACTACCAGGGGTCGAACCCTGGAATTTCAGGTTTTTAAGGATATGCTTAACATTTTGGCTATTCTGTTTAAATTCAATGGTTTATGTTCCTAACTTCACTCAGTTAATGATATTTTACGACCACTATGCATTGTCATCGGTAATATTTATCTCATACCCGACTTGTTAATGGCTACTCATTGTAACTCTGGAAATTACGTCTCAAAGTTATTTAGGCAGCAAAGTTTTTATATTCGATCTTTTTTATTTATATAAGTAATTTACCAAGTTCGATTTTTGGGTCCTCATTAGTGTCATCATGTCTATTCATGTACACTAACTTTATGTTTGGTTACAATGTCAAAATGTTAAGTGATTTGACCGACCACTTAGCTCTCATTAAAGAAATGATTTTATCAGCAAATCAATAAGTGTTAAGATTATATGTGCACTAAAACTGTGACGGATATTAAGAACATGTCAAAAAATTTCCATAAGTACAGATAATATAGTAATTCTATGTCAACTCATTGCAAACTTATGCAACAGATACACACGTATGCAACAGAAATGAAGTCTACACATGCACACACTTATACTTTGTAGGTCACTTAATATACTTAGCAAACACTGTTAGAATTCATTTTTCTCACAATTGATTAATGCAGAAACTGTACACATTACAAAAGTGTGTTGACCAAGATAATCAGTAAATACAATTTAGTACTTGAAATTGAGGCAGTGTACACCAGACTAAAAAAGTTACCCTTATTCAATAGAAACGTTTCTGCTTCTATGTCATGGTAATTCATCAAGAAAATGAATAATAAAGCTACTTCAAATTTGTCTTGGATATTATTTAGTTTACATTAGAATTTCATGTTAATTGAAAATATTGTTACGTGTGATAAATATCCCAGTATTTACAATCATACGCAACAAATAAACATATTAGCGAATAAGTTGGTCGAGATCACTTTGTACTTGGTAATAACACCAATAAAGCGCACGTCTCTATGGTTCTTGTTCTTTTAAAAGGCAAACAAATAACCACAGTGGAGTACTCACAAATAAAGGAGGATAAATTTAACGATAATATTATCATCTAAACTGCCAGTTCAAACCCTCACTCTCTGAAATAATCAATCCGAAGTACTTTTATAGATTTTCCTTTTTTTTCTGGATCTGTATGGAAAAAGAGCTCTAATTCATTGTCCACTGATTTTTATCGGATTTGTGTTTTAGATTACTACTTATTTCATTCTTTGAAACATCCTTTCTTAAAAACCACTGTAGGTGTTCAAAAGTTTATTACAACAACAGTTTTAACTGCTCATCGTGAAGGTCAAATTCAAACACTTAATGGTCATATCCGTCTTCTACCTGCGTTAAACTCGAAAACGGTATTTGACAGTGATACACCTTATGAACTCAACTGTAATTGGTCGAAAAAACATGATTTACGGAATCATTTTGCTGTTATTAAGGTTAGTATTTTCTAGCTTATGGACAATACCACTTATTGATTTTATGATACCTATCATTTGCTTTAGTTATAAATTTTAAAATCTCAATTGTTTTCCACTTCATCAGCTGATATTAGTTGAAAGACCTGCAAAATTTCGTCAGCTGTCGATTCCCATTCTTAAATTGAGCGGCAGTTCCCGCTCTCCTTCCTTCCTGTCAACAAATCTTAAAGTAATCGTTCTTCTGACTTGTACATTACCTAAATCGTGAGGCATATATTTTGAAACAACGACATTGTCCAGTACTTATTCTGTTGAGTGATTTATCTTTTTTAAATCAACAGACTTCAGTTTTGAATCTCACTTCACTTAATATGTATTTGTTTATCGTGTGGTCTTAAACAAAAGAAGTAGCTATCTCAAACTCGACTGCACTAACCTGTACTTGTATGTGTATGAATTACATATATTAGTTTAATCTTTGTTCATTTACTGAACCTAATCGACGTCTCTTAAGTTAATCCAGTAACTAATGTTATGATGTCTGAAGAGATTAGTGTTAAGTTCAATGGAAATACTAATTTAAGCTAGGTTCCATTTTCACTGAATTAGCAGGCATGTTCCAAATAAGGGGAGAAAACACATGATCGAATGATCAAAATCATTATGCGCCACACGATATCGTCATTTCATTCCATTCTATTTATGTGTGGGCTGTGCTACTGCCCGGGTGCCCAGACCGAAGCAGGTGGTTTTCTTAGGGGGCCACACCCCTAGCCTTTGAACTAAAGGTCTGACCCATAAGGCAATGGAGCCTCGTGAGGAGATGCAGTCCCATGGTAGCCGGTGAGCAACAATTGGTTCATACGCCATTTGTTCCTTTAGGATACTGGGGCCCACGTGCGCCGGCGGTTTGCAATTAGGGTTTTCCAACTCCCCTAGATGGACTCACTGTCCCCGGTTAAAGCGCCGGACATCCACTTTCCGTCCTCTCAATTTCGTAAATAACACGTGGTACGCGAAGGCAGTGAATACAACTTCCCTGGCAGAGGCTGTATACGCGTGGCCGTATAAGAGCATTTCGAGAGGGAGGGCGGACTCTCCCTATTCTCGGTCGTATCAGGGCATTGTGGGGCAACTATGTCTATGATTAATTATTCCCGTGTTTATTAATGTTTTTATCTTTGATTTATTTTTTTCACTAGGCTGAACGTCAAGCTGTTAATAATATCATTCAAGGAAGTGCATCGGAAATAGCTAAGATTGCTATGTTAGCAGTTGACGAAGCAATTCATTCATCTAATATTCCCGGTTATGCTCATCTTGTCTTACATGAACATGATGAATTAATCTATGAAGTAAGTAGTGTTTGACCCCATAAATAACCTATTTCTTTCCATAATAAAACAACCCAAGTAGCTTTCCTCCACCTTATTACAGTACTCCTCAGTAATGTGCACCTATGTCTCCATCATGGATTAAAACCTAGTCATTTAGGCTTCATGATGAGCACCTGACCTGCAAACAACTGACCATTTACGTTTCCAACTTCAATCAATTCACCATTTATATCTAACTCCTCATACATTTATATTTCAGATTTTTCCTGAATCATCTGTTAAACAATTCGGCATATTAATTCGACAAACAATGTCTAATACAAGTAAACATTGCAATATCAATATCCCACTCCCAGTAAAATTGAGAATCGGTAATAATTGGTCTGATTTAAAACAAGTTAATTGGTGATCAAATATGCATTCATAATTATTGTTTCATTATTATTTCAGTTTTATCTTGGTTATTGTTTTTTGTTGAATTTCCCTTTATCTTATACTATAAAATTTATGGATGAATATTACATAATGAGAATTAATGTACTAATATGTATGCATTTCACTTACTGAACCTAACTCAGGGATATGATAAGTATTGCTTTCCTATGTATGTTAAAGTTTTCGATTTCTTGCAAAGTAACTTGTGATACAATGTGTATTATTTATCAACCATAAACCAATTAGTTTTTTCTCATTTGAATCAAATAAATTTTTAAGATGAAAATCTAGTCTTCTCCCAAAAAGTTATTTTCACACTTATTTCTCAAGTGGTTCGTTGTTATCGATATGGGGATTTGTAAATTTTGTAGTATTTTCAAAGTCGAATTCACGAGGCAATGTAAGCTAGACCACCATCGAAAACCTGTAAGCACTGAACGGCCGTTTCGTCCTACCTAGTATGGGACTTAGCAGTGTGTATCCACAATCCTACACGCTAGATGCTGGCTCAGTGATCTGGAGGTTAACCGTTCGTGCGCGGAACCGAAGGTCCTAGGTTCGAGTCTAACGTGTGGGATCGTGGATGCACACTGCTGAATACCATACCAGGATGGAACAGTCGTGCAGTGCTTTCATGTTCCTAATGATTGACTCGTGAATTCGATTTTGATTTATTGTTATTTACTGATCATTTTTCCGGTCCAAAGATTATTATTGGCTATATTTTGATATTTTTGTTTTATGAAACTTAAGACTACTGCTGTACGAGGTATCAGTTATATTTATCAACATTACGGTTTATTTTTTAAAATGTTTACTACCTAAAAACCAAAAGATAGGAAGGTTTTCTTCCACCTTTAATCACTATTCATGTACGTAGTCTCATAACTATTCAATTACTTGTTCAATGTATCCAATTAAACTTGATTTGAAAAAAGTCGCGATCTGGCTGCATAGGTGACATGAGCATAGTTGCACATTTCTCATTTACATGATATCTGAACAAAGTACTACTCAGCGTTTAAAGTAAAACTGTGATTTAACTTGTTTAATTATTATTCTTTAAAACGTTGGTTTAGATCCTGTCGCTACGGAAGGTTGTTTTTACTACAGTCCCACAGTTATCATCCCGACATTGAACAAAAGGTAATTCAAAAATAAAAGTGTACGATAAATCAATACCCAAGGTATTATTTTTTTTCGTTAAGCAAACAGTCCAATGACAAAAAAATCTTACTATAAAGAGTTTATCTATCTCAAATATGGTGATGATATGATGAATAGGGAAGTCAACAAAAAATAACATAGCATTGTAAATAAAAAGTCAATTCTATCAACAAGTAGAATGTATTAAGGCTGCAACACGTTCACCTTGAATTGCATATTCGTTATACAATTTGAATGCTTTTTTACTTGTCTCTACTATTACTTTAATATGTGGATCAGATTGATTTATGTAATCAACTAATGATTGGGGCACTTTCAACTGAGATAGTACTCCTTTACTCAGTATAATAATATTTGGTTTATAACTGAGTAGTTCATCAACATCCTGTTTCTGAATCCCTGCAAAATGACCAGTGCCAGATTCGTTCCAATCCCATGCACGACTACCATTTGGCCACAGTTTTGCATCTCGGTATGTAATTAACTTGTTTGGATTGATCGTTCCATCTTCAGATACTGTTTCCACTGTGATGGAACCCCATGACATATTTTTAATGAGTGGCGAACACTGAGACGTTGGACAAAGATATTTATTAGGTCGTGTAACAGTTAACTACGGAAAAAAAACAAAGTGAGATGTATGTATATTAGATGGTAGTAGTACACAGCATACGTGACTTCGAACACAATTTGTAATGTATACGAATATTCGTCAATATTAGAACGAATAGTGTGACGAAAATTGGGCACCGAGTATAGAGAAGTCATTATATGTGAAAATTATATTTGAAATAGTCTCAGCGATTGAAATTTAAATTCTTCCAGAATCGAAATTGGCAATATATGACAATATTCATAATCTGACATGAAGCTGTGTAACGCGGGTTCGAGTCACACAGAGAGCATCGCTTGTCAAGGTTATAGTATACCTTGCTAACGAGTGCCAATAGGCACGAAAACTGAGTCCAAGATTCCTTGATGACTCACGAGAATTTTATCACTCATGATAGGTTGATGTTTTATCCAATACTCGGTAAAATGGAACAGAATAATTGTCTACAACATATCAGATACGTATAAATGATAAGTGATAACTAAGACAACATGGAAAATATAATAAGATGTTGCTTTCAAATTTTGGACCACACAATCTAACTTTAGTAATCTGGCCTTGAAGAAATCTAATATCTTCAAACCACATTTGCTCGATTTTAGCAATCTAATTGCTGTCATGGATAAAGTAATAAAAAACAAAAAAATTGTATCGAAACCAAAGTCACTAGTTTTTGTGAATGCATTATTTACCGAATCACATGAGTAGTGTTCTACCGATTCTCATCACTGTTCTACTCACCAATAATGAAAACAAGGAAATTACCGTGCTGAGCTGGCAAAGCAGACAACTACCCCTGATAAATCCAAGTATTAACAGTTTATTTATTACATGAGAAAGCAAGTAACAACGCTAAATTATAAGCTACGACATTTTTGCACCATTACCCTGATCTTAAACCTGTGGTAGGTAGATCGCCTTAAGATTTAAAATGTGACCCAGCGATGGCAAATATAGTGTGTTTACAATTGAATTCTACCTGGAAATCCATCGAATTTGTTACTGAACGGGTAATGATTAAATAACCATGGAAAATCAGAATGAAACAATCGTTCGATACGTTTCAACTGGTATAAGTTAATGGTGAAAGCTATTGTCAAATTATAAATTACTGTCAAGTTCAATACTAATAACAGTAAGAAAACATTGATTTTCATATGAAAAGATCGAAGTTTCAATTACTTTGTAAAATCTAATGTAAACAGCTGACGCAAATAAAGCAAAACCACCGACAACTAGAAACAAGTACTAAAAACAAAAAGAGTAAAAAAGGAATTGTTATTGTCATTACTATTTTAATGAGCCGTAAGTTTTAAATGTTGAGCAAAACTCTTATAATACTGATAATTAACACGTCTGAATATCAGTATGTTAGTAATAACATATTAGTAAGCAAGTCTGAAAATAGCCAGCACTTGTGAAATTCTAAAATAAATACCTTTTCAAGAAAATACAACATTCGATGAAAAGATGAAATTTTCGGGACTAAGACATTTTACTAAAAACAAATCAGATTCACCAGAGATCACTCAGTAAACAGCTATAATATAAAATCATAGGGCTATATCGCAGACTGATTGAAGTTAGAAATGTGGATTATTGGATCCTGACCCAATGGACTGTAAAACCAGGAAGTTCATGTATCGATGCTGACACAATGTTGTGAGTTTGGATTTTTTGGAATCCACAAAATATACCACAGTAGTTGGATCTTCACATTGATTTTCAAAACCTCTTTAGATAGTATTACTTTTCGAAGAAAACCAACTTCGAAATGCCTACTAGACTATTTAAAAAGTTGCCTTTATTGCGTAAGGCAAGGGAAATGTCAAATTACAGTATATTCAAATGATTTTATTTACTTAAGTACTAATTGAAGAAGTCAGATATAACATGACCTTTACATAAAACTTCTGCAAGTTAGACAATAACACAGTCGGATACCAGTTCAGTGGTTTATAGGTTAAGCATTCGCGCGCAAGACGAAAAGTCTTGAGTTCGATTACCACATGGGGATCACAAATGAGCACCACCGAGGAACCACATGCTGAGACGAAACGTTTGTTCAGTGTTTCCAGATTTTCCATGGTGTTCAAGCTAAGATCAGTTCGTGATTACAACTGTGAAACAGACTAAAATAGTTTTACTTCAATATAATGACAGACACATAGTATCAAAACAAGATAAAACACCACGAACAAATCGTACCATTATCAGTATAGGGTTGTGGAGACTGTTCAGTTTCAATTGAGATCATGAACCAGTTAATGTTTGGTTCCGCACGCGGGCTCGTGGATGCGCACTGTTGAGTAGTCCCATACTAGTGCGAAACAACCGTCCACTGCTTCAATGGTGGTCTAACATTGATCAGTTCATGATCTTAAATGAAAATCTTACCATGTAATATTAGTTGAATCTCTGTCCAAATAAGTGCTTAAATCTAAATTATTAAACTTTTGTTAGTTCGTATGAATGGTATCAAGTTATCCACACAATGTTCAGTATCATAATTTGCTAACTCATCGCAATAATATGAAGTGATCAGTGCATGCATGAACTAGGGTGGTGACTGATGAAACTATTTCGTTGACTGTAGGAAAATTATTCTTATATGACTACTGATGTAACAACAACTGATTTGAAAAGAAAACCCACTTCTCAATATAATATTTAGATGGCGTAAAATGAGAAGACAAACAAGTTGAGAATTAAAACTGTGAAGCAATACAGATGAAAATATAAGCAAAACATCAAAAGAATCACAGCACTCACACATCTACTGACAGTATATACGAAAATCAATTATCCCAGAGTTTGTTTGATAGAATTATAAAAGCTGTTGTCTATCATCACACAAAAAAAGGTTAAATTTTGTTGTGATTGCAGATTCAATAAGACGGGATATTCATAGGCTATTCTATTCTATAGACTACTGCTACGAAGGTTTCTTTGGGGCAAACCACTGTGAATAGATCTCAAGTAAAAGATCAGCATGTACACTTACCGTTTGCTTTTGTTAGACTACGAATTTTTAAATACACAGAAAAAACATCCAAACAAAAATCTCGAACAATAAGTAGAAAACTGATTTATTATTTACAATATTTACAAATACAAAAACTACGCTATTATAATAATAGGATACTACGTTCCTTTTTCCAACATAATTTAAAACACTAGTTAGTTCGTGTAAAAGCAATCAAATGACCAATTTTATTATCTAATTCACCGTCATTAAATTGAACACGATTTGATTCATCAATTAAATAACTTATAAACTGTGATGATAAGTAGTCTGAAGGTGGTATTAATTTGACAGTCCAACTATAAGTTTGCTCCATTCGATAAGCCAAATTAATAAAATTATGCAAACTATTACCACGTAAAGGTGAAATAGCTAGAAATGTTGATCCAGATTGTGAAGACAGTAGTCTATTGATTGTATTTAACATACTGAGATGGTAGGATTGGTCAAAGAAACAATCAGCTGCTATAATTAAATCAAATCGATGAATTAAAGATTCATCTAGCTCAGCAATCAAGGACGATGATGACCGTGAAGACTGGAAAACAAAATCAGGTCAATAATTAGAGAGTAGTAATAAAACAAATATAGTAAGATAGAAACGTGATCAAGCAATTTGTATACAAGAAAAAAATTGTACATAATATAACAGATTTTTCGACTACGAAACTACTTCAGTTTAAGGTTAGTAATTCGAAAACCTTGCTATCCAACATCTGATCAATTATATTTCGTACAAACAAATATAAGCTCTGGCTTTCTTGGCGACGGTTTTCAAATATTCCACACCAAGTACGACAACTCCGCCTGTCTCTGCTGGGGTCACTGTCAATCCCAAGCCCACAAAGGAGGAGAGTTTGGCATATGGTCACCAGCCCAATCCTGTAGAAAACAACCTTGCTAAAAATATGCTAACCAGAATAAACCAATGTAAACTCTGCCCTCCAAGTTGAAGGACCTTCATTCAGAAGAACTATGGAGCCTCTTGGTGAAAGTTGAGATTTTTCGAAAATCACGATGCCGATGGCCCGTCTAACAACCAGAGCAACAATTAATATAGGTACATGGAATGTTCAGACAATGTAGAAGACTGGGAGGACTAATCAAATAGCTACGAATATGAGGAGATACAATTAGGCGGTGCTCGGAATCAGTGAAACCCATCAGGCTCAATCTGGACAGAAAAGATTAGATTCGGGAGATGCTTCTGTATTCCAGTCATAAGGAAGAAATTGTTCCACACACTCAGGGAGTTCCTCTGATGCTGTCCAAAAAAAGCATGAGATGCACTTATAGGATGGGAATCTAACAAAACCAGAACCATCAAATAATCCTACAAAACAAAGAAGGAAGGAATCACAATGAATGCAATGTTGTGCACCCACCAATGACAGCACTGGCGACAACAAAGATCAGTTCTATGAAAAGCTGTAATTAATCATAGCGAAGTGTAAAGAAAGGATCTCACCACTCTGATAGGAGACCTAAGCGCCAATGTCAGGATGAACAACACTGGATAAGAAAATATTATGGGACGCTACGGAATGAGAAAGGAACGAAAACAAGAAGAGACCTACAAACCCATGTGCATTCAACAAATTGGTTATAGGTGGCACAATATTCCCCCACAAACGCATACACAAAGCTACACAGATCTCACCGTTCACACCACGGAGAACCAGATAGATCATACTTATATCAAGAAAAAATTCACAAGGACAACGGAGGATGTGAGAACCAAGAGAGGAGCTGACGTAGATTGAGATAACAACCCGGTTGTGGCCAAAATGAAACTGAAGCTAAAGAAACACTAGATAGCTGAAGAAACAGAATTACAAAGGTTAAATACAACCTCCCTACGAGATATTAACAAGATCAACGAATTCAAGATAGCACCTATAGACCTCCCTATAGATGTCACTCCACCAACGATCGAAGAAATCAGGATAGCCATCAAACAAATCAAGAATGGAAAAGCAGCAGCACGTGACAACATACCAGCTAAAGCTCTGAAGTCAGACATAAAAGCAACTGCGAACGTGCCCCACAATCCATTCAGGAAGACTTGAGAGAAAGAAAAAGTGTCGACAGACTGGAAAGAAGGATACCTCATCAAGACATCAATAAAAGATCTGAGGAAGTCTGAAAAATACAGAAGCATCGCATTACAATCAGTACCATGAAAAGTTTTCAACAGTGTTGCTGAACCGGATGATAGATTCAGTAGACGTATCGATCAAAAATCAACTGAATGGAACTCGTCACTATACACATCAACTTCCTTGACTACGAAAAAGGCGTTTGACAGCGTGGATAGAACATTATGGAACCTTCTTCGACACTATGGTGTACCTGAGAAAATCGTCAACATCATCCGGAATTCATACGACGAACTACAATGCAAAATAGTGCATGGAGGACAGCTGACAGATACATCCCAAGTAAGGACCGGAGACAGACAAGGTTGATTACTCTCTCCCTTTCTCTTTCTTCTGGTGGTTGACTGAATTATGAAGACTTCCACATTTCAGGGAAAGCATGGAATACAATAGAAATCTTGGATGCAGCTAGACGATTTGGACTTTTCAGATGAGCTGGCCCTTCTAATCCACACACACCAACAAACGCAGATCAAGACAGTCAGTGTAGCAGCAGTCTCCGTGTCAGTAGGCCTCAACATACACAAGAGAAAAGGCAAGATCCTCAAAGACAACACGGAGAACACCAACCCAATCACACTTGGTGAAGAAACTCTAGAAGAGCTGGAAATTTTCATGCACCTGGGCTGCATCATGGATAAACAAGGAGGATCGGATGCGGATATGGAGGCAAGGATCGGCAAAGCAAGGGCTGGATTACTACAACTGGAGAACATATGGAACTCAAAACATCTATCAGCCAACATCAAAATCTGGATCTTCAATTCGAACGTTAAGACAGCTCTATTGTGCGGAGCTGAAACTTCGAGAGCTACTGCAGCCATCATCAAAAAGTGCAAGTATTTATAAACAATCGCCTACGTAAGATACTCAATGTCTGTTGGTCGAATACCATCAGCAACAGCTTACCGAGTAATACAAAGTCGTAGTGGTTACTATCCAGCAATCAGTTGAAATGTATTACGTTTCATAAACTAATGAACCATGCAAAGAATTGAGGGGATATATATGCATGGAAAATGTATTTGTTTCTAATCTCAGCGAAGAAATATTTACAGAAACGGTCCCACCATGAAACATGGGGGTTGTGATTTTCATCCTAAAAAGAATGGATGGGCTTTGTTAAATCATTGAAAAGGTAAAGAGTAAACGGACATTTCTGTACTTTTTCAAATTAGTATTGGTTCTTCAAATAGTATTAATTTGTAGTGGAAATTATTACTACGGTGAACCTCTTAAACAGTTCAACTAGACTACATGATGCACTAGATTAGAATGACTTTTTAAGAACACATGTAGACATACGGAACATTTAACTGACAAAGAATTCTCAAGTAGATAGTTTCTGCCTGTTCGGTTATTTAGCAATGTTTTAAACAAGTATTCTATGAACGAACCATAACACTGAGATAACCTTCTTTTCTCATTTGGTGTTTCATGCACAGTCTCACTGTTTCTGAATATTTTGGACTAAAACCTCGAAAGATTTGACAAAGACTTTCACATAAGTTGACATCGTAAACTGGCACTAATTACTGATCCGGAAAATGAACAGAAAACAGGAAACTGACTTGCCCAAGTTATAATAATAAAAAGTAGCATTAGTACCGCTAAAGACCAATATTATTAGTAAAACAACTCATTTTCACATTATTTTCTTATTGTAACTATTCAACTGATGCAGTTCCAGTGTATTTCGACGAAATTAATATGAATAAATTGAAGCATAATATTTAACTGAAAATACCAGCCAGAACAATTGTATGAGGCACGAAAAACAGTGAATTACATAGAAAACGAGCAAAATATACAAGTTTAGTTGATTGAACAGTTTCACCATCTTATAATGTCGGTGGTGACTAACTGAGTAGAGACTAATAAACTGATTCAGACTATTTTTGCACTGAGAATCGAACAAGATATCATCCTGGTTTACAAAGCCTTATTCGTTAATTTCTTTATAAGAATAAATACGAAAAATCCGAACTATGGTTGGTTGCTAAATTGCATCGTTAATCATTTACATCACACTACACAACATTTAGCTTACATTTTCTGGCCATCGTATATTTTTTACGTCCACATGTAACAGGAAAGCTTGATCAAGATTGCAATTATCCAATAAGCGTTTAGAATTATGCTCAATAATAGAGGAGATAGATGCAACACATTGATCATTACCATCAGTAATCAACACATATGATGTTTTAAATATATTCGAATATTTGCGTAAAGAAATAGCTAAACCAGCAGCACCAGTCATACCAGCACATAATTCACAGACGTTTTCAATCGGATGATCATCAAAATTATTATACAATTCATTCCATAGACCAGGATAAAGACAATCAAAGAACATACTATGGGCCAATAAAATTTCACTAGACCATAAGTGAACATTCCCTGTGTTATCGAAACCAGTTAACACATCTAATAATGGATTCATACAAGAGTCGGATGTTTTGGCGATACTAAGTGTTTTATAGATCCGTACATGTAAAGAAGAAACAATGGTGGGTAATTCAAGTGAATCATTTGACTGGTGAATAACCGGACGCGGTACAAGTTCCAACCATAATGTATTTTCATCTATCTGTTATTTATAATCGAAAATATATGAAAATAAATACTTCAATGAAATATTGTAGGATTTGAACATAATTCATCAGGAATTTAAATCACTCAAGGATAACACATTACTTTCATAAAAAATCATCCAATCAGTTTATATATGGATGACCAGGCAATATAATTGCATCTAATACAAATAAGTTTGACTTATATTCTATTGCATGAACTTGTAGAGAATTACTTGGCTATAGATAACCAATTACGAAGTCTATAAATACTGACTAAAGACAACGAACATCTATTACGGTAAAACTGAAAAGATGGGGCTGACTTTCATTTTGAATGTCACCAGAAGAAATATCTCACAATGAACATTTAGTAGATAATGTTAGTTTCTAAAATTACCTAAGTCCTCAATATAGTAGGCCTAACTTACTCCACATTGTTTTATAATTTCGCCAAAAGCACCATCATGAAGAAATAATTATTTATAAAGAAAATCCGCAACATAAATTTTTGCTACGATTTATCCCTCGTAGTCTTTAGACAGTCAAAATATAATTCCTAATATACGAGATCAGCGATGTATATGCATTAGAAGTAAGAGTATATGCGATTTGTGACGGTCACCCAACTTTCATTTTGCGTTACAAACTAACGATCATTGAAAACCAAGAGGCACTAGACACCTGATTCGTCCAAGTACAAGACTCCTTGACAGTGTACATCCGAGACACCCAAAGTGGTACAACTCAGGATCTCTAGACCTTCTGGCGAGTGTCTAACCCTCAGACTACTAAGTTGGTGTACGATGGTCCACACAATTCACTCTATCGCGTGACTATCATCTACTTCATATTGCGTAAAGAAAGTTCAGTGGCTTCTGGTCTTGTGGTTATCTGAATAATTAGTACGTGATGTAAAGTGTGGATATAAATAGGCTTGTAAAAACACAAAACAGATCAGGTTCATTGGATTTTGCTATTTTAAAAAATATTAATAATAAAGCCTTTACTGTTAAGAGTTCTTTCACAAGGTCAACTTAATTTAATGATTAGGACTTCATTTCCACATTACACATGACGTGATTAATGTTAAACATATAAGTGACTTTTTTAATCATTAGACACATCCTCGAATTCCATGAACTGATGTATTTTCATATTAATGAGATATTAGGGGGAAAGTGTTGACAATAATCAATGAAATTCAGTTTCTAAAGGATACGCTATTAGTCACTTGCACAGAAATTTCGGTAGCTCATGTGTTTTTGTAGTGCTGGTGTTTAGAAAAACAATTAATGCTTCACAATAAAACCATCCAGTTCAGACAATGCCATATTAACGCAATCTGTCAACCAATTTAACAATCGGGCCTTCGTCAAAACAATAAAACAGTCATCTCATTTGGTGTAGGTTCACAATCTCAACAGACGATCTATGTTCTTTACCTAAAAATTTGCACTAAAATGAAATATTGCCGAACTAATTTGTGCATTATACGTCAGTATTGTTGCAGAAAGACAAACGAACTAAGATTTCGATCAACAAAATATTCATTCTAAGCAGCTGAGAATCATTTCTGAAAACCTAAGCACCCTTTTGCATTTTCTTTATCCCTCCATTTTCAACTGCAATGTACTGTTAGCGAATTTCGCATAAACTACTCGAATAGCTTACCATAGCTGTAATGAGTTTAGATTAGATAACCTTAAAGATTCATTGGCTTTTAACGGAATCGAGTTTTAGGTGGCAAAAAATTCTTACAACAGAATAAGTACTGAAGTATACAGCTTCTAAACTGTTCTTATTACATTACAATACATTTCTCCAAGTTATACAAAAATACGCTAGTTATATGGTACAAATTGCTTATCAACAATACTTACGAACTCGAATTGAAGTCATATTTTTTGTGATCTAGTGATACTATGAAACCACCCAAACCAATGTATGTTAGTCGAAACTTGGACTTAATTTATTGAGTGCCATGTGCATACATGGAACTCCTCTCACTGTTTGTGGCATTTGCTGACAAACTGTCCAGTACTAAGTTCGTTTATTAGTCATTTACATTTCACACATCAATAGTTGGTCACAAAGTTGAAAATAACTAGAAAACTGATTAACTATCTGCAATCAGTGCGACACATGACAGACCACTGCAAGATTGAAGTGAAAAATAAGTGAAATTTCCACTGATAAGGAAAATTTTCTGATATATTTTAGTTCAGACGTTTGAGTAACAAAAAAGTGGATAAACATATTATCTAAGAGTAAAGCTACCAGGGGAACACGAATCAGATCAAGCTCCAAAGGATTCAAGTCTTGGACATCAAAAACATGCGAATCGACAATATCACAAGGTGATCAAATGTTAATATATATGGGCTCAGTTAGAGTGCCTTTGTTGTTGTTAGGCATCTAAATTTGAAAATGAAAAAAACTTTTCAATCCAATATATATCTGTAAACTATTCTTAAGGCTACATATGTGCTATCATGTAACCATATTAAAGTGAATCACAAACCAATAAGTGACAAGAAACCACATATTTATAGTGAGAAACTAAAATCCCACTTGATTCACCACTGATCATAGTATTTCTAATTTCTGAACCTCATTTTCTTAAAAGTATAGATGTTAGTTATCCCTGGATAACAAGTAGTAGTAAGTGAAAACGATTTATTTAAAGTCCAGTTCACGGTCACACATGTTTAGTGAGACAATGTGGTTATTCACTGAAAATACTTTGAAATTACCGTTTGTTTGGCAGACTAATCAAAACTAAGCCTGTAAGACAAGAAACTTCACCTGTCAACTTAGTTTAGTGTCCTAAAGGTATTTCAATAAGTGAGAAGTGAATTTTGAAATAGGATCAACGGGCACAAGTTTGTTAAAATAAAACTATATGGGTATAAAAACCCTCTATTTGTACAGATAACCACAGTTAGGTTTGAAAGTATTATCAAGTTTGTATATCCATACAATTCAAAGGAATAAAGGTAAGCTTATATAATCTTATGGTGGGTGGCCTATACTCCTCCATGAGGGGCAACAGGTGTATGTAAAAACAGCAACATTAATAATTTGATTATTCCCTCAGTGTACTTCTAACGAGTCAGTAAAGCAACTCAAAAACACCTTTTTAATGGGCAGATTTACCAAGTCACGGCTTTACTCTTCGAAAGGAACCCTCAAGTCAAGAATTTCTGGAATCTCTTAATCTGTAAGTTATTGCATTGAGTAACATTTATAGACTACTTAGAATACCCAAAAACGTTCCAATATATAGTACTAACGTTCAACACCCTCCTGAACAAAATTAATGTTCGAAACAGACGATTATTTGTAATACTGAGAAATACTGGGTAAGATAATATGGTTGCTTTTATTAACGAAGTCATATTAACCAAACCAGCTGGGAATTATTTGCGCTGTGAGAATTGAATGGTGTGCCTTATTTTTTCCGGGTCAAATAGAAATTCACTTCGTACCTAGCACGTTTAGTTATAATACTGTGGGGAGTAAAACTAAGAGATGACAAATACTAAGTGATAAATGCACAGGACAATCACCTCGGCGGGTTGTTCTAATAGATGGACTTCAAAAACCTTTTTCGTCAAAGGACTAGTTTCAAAGTGCCTGCTACAAGATAATTTAGGTTTTCCTTCTCTGTAACTACACTTGACCGCGCGTGCAAGAATACTCCAAAGTTGTGAAGAAGTACGGTTTCCTTTATTCATTACTAGAATGTGGAACTTTAGTGAGCAAAGCTCCTGAAAAAATTGGAGAGCCAGATTATTCTAAGCTTTCATTTCCTTGAGATCCCGATTCCTCCCGAACTGCTATTGCTTCTATTTCTATTTTCCCATTCTGATTATCGGATTAATTAAACAAGCAACATACTTTCGGTAAACATTCAACTTGGTAAGTAGCCCGAGCTGGATATGGATCTGCAAAATCTGAAAGAGGGTAAAGTTATTAGTACCAAAAATTACATTGCGCATATATCGCATTAACTTTCCCGAAATCATTCATATCGGCTAAAAGCAAAGTGGTCTTAACAACATCCCGCATAGTAAAACCAGCAGACTGAACTACTTCTCTGATGTTTTTAAGAGACTGATGAGTTTGTGATTCAACATCATCTCCAGCAAAAAGCATTGTGTTAGGATCAAGACCCAACTGGCCTGAAATATACAAGGTGTTATTCACAGCTACACCTTGACTACAAAATGGAGATTTGGGTTTTGTATTACTTGTATGGTCCTATAGATTTTGGTGCCCTGGGTGTATTTATAATTTTACGACCCAATTTAGACATCGGAAGTAGGTATCTGGAGAACCGAAAATCAAAACTGACCTTCGATACTTTTCCTACCGCCACTACCCAAACCTACTCCAATACATCCAATATCTAATAACTATATCTTGTGCTTGTATAAACCGACTGATTTATTTGCTCTATCTTCTTGATGTTTCTGTATAGTTCCAGGTAGTTGGTTATGTATAATGTGTAACAGTTTAGGCACTCGGCTGAACTAATTCCAATCAGTTTGGCAGTTAGTTGGGGATTTGTATATTTTTCAAATGGTTCAAATGGTTGTGGACGGAATAGAAGAAGCTTTCGCTTAACAGGCTTCCGTGTCTAGTAGCAGGGGATCACCAAATCCTCTAGGCATGAACCTGGGTATATTAACAATAAAAGAGGAAAAGAAATTGGTAAATCATAGTATGATACTGTCCTTGGTCCTCAAGAATAGGTCAAGTTGCCTCTTGAAGGACTCCTGAGAAGTCGCTTGGACTAGCTCGGCCGGCAGCGAATTACAGCTTTTGACAACTCTTAAGGAGTAGAAGTTGTGTCTACATCCCGTCTTGCTATATTGAGTTTCCAGTTTCTGGGTGTTACCCCTTAGGTTATTATTCGAACTAAGCTTGAGTAGGTGTTTAAGAGGATGTCCAGAAGTGTTAAGAATACTATAAGCCATTAATAAATCACCTCTAAGACGCCTATACTCTAATGGGTAAAGGTCTAGTGAATGGAGGCGTTCTTCGTAAGGCTTAGATTTGAGTCCACGAACTGATTTCGTGGCTCGCCGTTGGATACGCTCCAAAGTGATCTTGTCCTTTTGGAGTGAGGGGGAGTACTATATTTCCGTACTCTAAATGGGGACGGATAAAACTATTGAAGATTGTATGGAAAGTTCTTCCGTCAAACTGGCCAAAAATGCGCTTCAATGTTACCAGTGCAAGGTTAGCTCGGAAGGCATTTTTGTCACCATTAGCGTAAGACTTTAAATCATGGGGCACCAGGACTCCTAAATCTTTTTCGACTTGGGATACTACTAGAGAGGAATTTCTTAAGTTATAACTGTAGTCTGCGACATGTCGCAGATGGACTACTTTACACTTTGAAGTGTTAAACGTAAGTCCGTTATCGTCTGCCCAACTTTGAAGTCGAGTCAGATCCTCCTGAAGTGCCCGTGTATCGTCTTGGTTGCGTATCTCTCTCCAAAGTTTCACGTCATCGGCAAAGTAGTAAGTCTGACGTTACCTGTTGAGGAAGATCGTTTATGTAGATCAAGAAGAGGAGAGGCCCTAATACTGAGCCCTGGGGAACCCCACTAGGACATTCCATAGCCTGAGATAAAGTGAAATTAACCCTAACCTTAAAGTGTCGATTTTCTAGGTATGAAGTAAGCCAATCGATTAGAGGTGGTTTGATACCTAGTCGTTTGAGCTTGTTGATAAGACACAAGTGGTTAACTTTATCAAAAGCTTTTTAGAAGTCAAGGTATATGATATCAACCTTTCCCTTGCGATCGAGGATGCTTGTCCATCTGTCCACCGCAGTCAGTAGGTTGGTTATACAAGAGTAAACCTTTCTGAAACCATGCTGTTGGGGTGAGAAGAAGTTTAAGGACAGTAGATAATCGTTTAAACCATCGCATATCAGGGACTCCATGAGTTTTGAAGGTAATGACAGAAGAGCCACAGGCCGATAACTTGAAGGTTCATTGCGTCGACCCCCTTTGAAAATTGGTGTGATGTGAGCCAACTTCCAATTTTCCGGTAATTTGCCTTGACTTAGCGAGTGTGAAAACATCACATTAGTTCGAGTTAGTGCGATTGTCCCATGGCGGTAGGGTTTTTGGATACTAGCATCTATCGCATCACCGGGTGGGAAGTTAGCTGGTTGCACTGAAAATAATCAAGTGATAATTTGAGTGCTAAGAGAAGAGGATTGTTTCGAAAATAAACAGATGATGTACATAATAGGTGCAAGAAGATGGAATTGGAAGAATAAGGAAGGAAACGGAAATGATAATAAAAGAGATACGAAGTGGTTACTGATGCGTGGCAATGACAACCGCAGTAAATGCATAAGACATGTCCATTCCGAGTGGGAGATTGTTATCGTGGAGTGAACACATGTTCATCAAGTCTCCTTGTAAAGCTATGGTCACTTCAGCTGAGAGAATATTCTAAATGAGGGCAACTTTCAATAAAAAAAGTAGGAGCGCACATGTGCGATCGTTCTTTGATGTGCAATCCTTAGAGGGTTACCTCGATGAGCGTTCTGATGATGTTCTCGTGCTTGTGTTGGGGTGATGTGGAATAATTAATATGTTGTATGCTATTGCCAGACAACCTCTTATTCTCCCGTATCTCGTAGAAAATAACCTTGTGTGTTGAAGCCTGTCCATGTAAAATTTATATTTAGGCCTATCGTCCAGTTGGTTGCCAGTTTCTGTGCATGGTCTAAGAGATTGATATCTTTTTCAAAAATATTGTGAATCTCAATGTGCTGCCATGTGCACTCCTTAAACGAAGTTAAGAAATACCCTAGAGTGAGTACGCCAAGGACTCTTAGCATAAAATGGAGAGTTGCATTTGTCTTCTCTGAATCCCTTCTGTAGTTTGAGATGTTATCTAAGCTCTCTGTGGTTACAAACATGAGATTATGCTCTGAGGAGACAGACAATCGGGAGTGGATTTCTATGGAGGATGTAGGCGCTTATATCAAATGAGGCAGAACATTCATGACAGAACATTTTGACCGGTTAAGTTCTAACTCATTGCCTATTACACATTCCTCTATTATTTTAAGTTTGTAACAACTTAGGTTGATTGGTTAATAGTTGGCCGCAAATATCCTAGCAGTTTCACAGAATTGAAGCTCATGTATTCATTCACTTCCTTATTCTGTACAGGGATTAAATTTCCTATGTATTTGAAAAAGATAACTAAGCGCTTCAACTTTTCTGTTCCACGATCAAAATAATGAAATATACACCACTAGTCTGGTTTCTCCTACCGATGGAACGAGAAGTGTCCACTGGCACAAGAAAGTCCTCTTGAAGAACAAGTGAATCCTTCTCGCTTTGTACGGAACCCTAGATCGTTGCGTCGTCTGTATAGATCGTTGCCGTTCAGCTAGTTATATCTAACATGTAGTTAAAAAGTGCTACATAGTCTGATGTTTCATATGATTAGAAGCACAACACTGAAAAAGTATCACTAGCTTTAGTGTTTGAACTTATCCACTTTACAATGACTATATACTCAATGGCTATTTGCCTTCGAATAGTAAACTTAAGATAGTAATGAGTTCCTTTCTCAAAGAAGATACAAATTCTTTTGTGCAAAAGAATTAAGAGCAAAGTTGTCGAAAAGAAGCTTTCATTAGAATATGCTTTGTGTACATATCATTCACATTAAGCGTATGCTTCCCGAATAACCAGATGAAACTGTTCTGATTCCTGTTATATGTTCTGACTCTGATGAGTGTATTCTAGATAATACAGATTCTATACTTAGTCCGGAGTTGGACAGAGGTTTGATGAACCTGTGGAGATATATAACAAACTGCAGAAATCCAGATATATATTCAGACTGTTGCAGATGTGGTGTTTGTATCAACATAAAATTCCTTTAATTAATAATCCCCGCCTGAGTTGAATCATACAACACAGGACCGCAGTGTACGCATATTGATTTTTCTTTGATATGAACATTCATCAGTCGCTGACTACCAGAGTGTGGACTGGATAGTCCTGGAAAATACTGGTATAACGACTCACAAGTTTATTTAACTCAGTGATCAGTAAAAGTCTCGTAAGTACTGGGCATCATGCAATAAAATCCAAAGAAGTTTCTGTAAAGTAATTTACAAGACGTAAATAACACATATGACTCACTGGAGAATTAAGCGAATCGTTTTGAGAAAATAGGACTCAAAACAAATTTGTCTACAAAATTCACTCAGTGATTTTTGTGTTATGGCACCAAAAACGACTTGTGGTGTCAGACTACATAGTAAAAACAAATTTTAATTATAAACATCGTAATGTCTTTTTAAACATGTGCTTAAAAACATGAATTAAGTATTACGCAGTTTGATAACACCATCTTTCCTGTTTATTGGAAGTGAACATCATCATTTTCCAGCAAGATTTCTTGAGTTCTCAGTTTTATTCTGATTACACTCAAGGCCAAAGTAGTAACTGGTTTTTATGGGTCGTGAATATCTCTGCAGAAATCAGTTAACCCATAATCGTATGAGTCATATAATTCCGAATATGGCACTCTGAAACAAATAAAACCGAAAATTAGTGAAGTTAGTAATGATCACTTTAAACTACAGCCGTAAAAAAGCAATTTTGCTAACCAACATTAAACCTGGAAAGTAAGAAGATAAGCTGATAGTTTTGGTGACAGCTCAACTTGGCACACTGTTACC